CGAGAAGAGAACTCTCCGCCTCTGTCCGAGTGCAGACGCAGAACAGGAAAGTCCGAGCCGAAGCTCTTCCTGAGCTGGAGACGAGCCTCGCGGATCCAGTCGATCAGCACCTCAGTGACCGCACCCTTGCTGCGCAAGGGGAGGACTGTGGTGTAACGCGAGTAGTCGTCAACCACCAACAGGAAGTAGCGCTCGTGACCCTGCCCACGGACGGGGGCTGGGCCCCACACATCCATGTGAAGCGTCTGCAGGGGAGCCTCTGTTGGGGGGAAGTGGGAGGAGTGAGGAGTAGCCCGGAGGCGACCCTCGACACAGGGGACACAGGAAGGTCCTGGCCCGGAGGGGAGAGGAGGGAGAGACTGGGGAAGACCAGAGACAAGGACACGGGAAGCCATGCTCCGAAGACGGGGCAAGGAGGGGTGGCCAGGACGGTGGTGCCACAGGAGAGTCTCGTGAGACAGGAGGCGACAAGAACAGGGGGCAGACTCAGGACGTGACCGGGACGCAGCAGCAAGCACCTGACCCGACGCAGCCACCTGACCAGACGCAGGGACAGAAGGAGACTCAACGGTCAGGGTGTAGAGACTCGACCCCGGCCGACGCGAGAACGTGGCCAGGTGTCGGCCTGTGCGTGCCTCCGTGCAGTGGGTCACCCGCTGACTCGCAGGAGTGAACTGGTGAACCCCCACATCCTGCAGGTCCGCTCCACTCACCAAGTTCGTAAAGAATGAGGGAAGGTACAGACCAGACAGGGTGCCCGAAGGGGCAGCCGGACACGGGAGGACAGTGGAGAAGTGAGACAGGACAGGACCCCCAGAGGGGTCAGCAAGGGAGACCGCAACCGGTCGGCCGAGCGGCGTAAGGGTAGTGCGGTCTCGAAAGAAGGAGCGAGAAGCCCCGGAGTCAAGTGTGAAAGTGAGGGAGGACGAGGACGACGCAGTACCTGAGAGCGCAGTCTCACCAGTACCTGAGAGCACAGACGCACTGGCACCTAGAGCAGCAGCCTCAGAAGCACCTAGCGCAGCAGTACCAATGCCCGGGTCGGGCTGGAAACACCGGTAACCCTCATTCTCCTCACTATAATCCACAGCATACATAGCAGCAAGGATAGCATCAAAATCAAGATCAAAGATCGCTACACCAGCCCTTAGAAGCTCATCCCAGCGAGGGATCTCACTAGCCCCAGGGAACTGCTGACGCCAAGCGTCCGTCAGGCGGCCAAAGCAGCGCTGGGTGGCGTGGGCACCCCCACACTGCTCACCCGCGCGGTCGCCGGAACGAAGAACGTAGGTGCAGGGACCAGTACCCCCACCCCTCTGACGCCCAGCGTACCACTCACGAAGCTGCTGAGGCGGAGGGATGTCCCGCGAGCGCTGCTGCTGCTGCCGCTGCGAGCGCTGGCCACCACCACCGCCGCTACGCTGCTGGGTACCACCCCGACCAGCTCCACCTCCTCCACCACCACCGCCTCCTCCGCTGCCGCCTCCACCGCCTCCACCTCCGCCGCCTCCACCTCCGCCGCTGCCTCCACCACCACCGCTGGCACCACCACCACCGTCTCCGCCGCTGCTGCCACCACCACCACCATCCCCGCCACTAGTCCCGCCGCCACCCCCACTCCCTCCGCCGCCACCGCCGCCACCGCCACCGCCCCCTCCAGCTCCACCCGCGCCCTTGCCCCCCTTGCCCTTGCTGGAGCGACGTCTCCCACTAGGGGTAGACGCCGCGCCGACCGACTCAAGACCAAGCAGGTCGGCAGCAGCAGCAGAGGCAACAGAGGGCAGCAAGGGGGAAGGAGAGCACCCCTCAAAGATGGGGGTGCGAGGGTCACCACGAGAAGCACCTATAGCGACTATGCTCTTCTCCGCTGCGAGGAGGGCCTTCTCGAGGAGGTCGACGGTGAGGGTGGTGGGACAGACTGCGAGAAAGTGGTCCCTAACGACGCGAAGGGAGTCAGGGAGGCGCGCGACTACGTAGTAGAGAGCGATGTACATGGGGGGTGGGTTCTTAGCGCAGAACTCAGCAGGAAGGGCGGCGCGGTAGCGAGTGTCACTAGTGCGGAGGTGCGTAATGAGGTCAGCAACAGTGGGAAAGGCAGAGAGGTCAGGAAAGAGGTAGGGAAGCATGAGACGGCTCAGTGCAGCAGTGGCAGGGGAGGAGTAGCGCGCAACTACAGCGTCGTACAAGGTCTGAGCACTCTTGTACTGACTAAAGTGCGCACGCTCAGAGGTAGGGAGGTGGCGACGCACAGCAAGACGTGCAGCAGCATCGCGGGTGGCCCACTGAGAGCGGACAGTGGGATCAGCATCAGCAGCAGGAGCAGGAGAGGCGCCAGAGGTGAGGTCAAAGAGAGAAAGGTCGTCAGCCCTGTCGCACTATAAGAACAGCTGCAGGTCGTCTAACCAGACCTCAAAATCAATGGCGCGACCCTCAGCGTCAAAAGCTAGGACACTAGGGGTAGCCATGGCGACGACAGCGACGCAGTGCAAGCAGTAGGGAAAGAGCTCGCAGTGTCAGTGGGACTGTGCTCACCAGGCAGGGCAGGTCGTGCAGCTCTGCAGAAAGGCGGCTCAGCGACCGGGCGGCTCGGGTGCACAGCGGCTCGGCTCCCGGGCGGCTCGGCGGCTGGGCGGCTCGGGCGCAGGGCGGCTCGGGTGCAGGGCGGCTCGGCTCCCGGGCGGCTCGGCGGCAGGGCGGCTCGGGTCCCGGGCGGCTCGGCGTTGGGCGGCTCGGCTCCCGGGCGGTTCGGCTGCTGGGGCGGCTCTGCTGCTGGGGCGGCTCGGCCGGGAGATGCAGGGGCGGGGCCGTCAGGTGCAGCGACGGGTCGACCGGTGCAGCGGCGGGCCGGCAGGTGCAGCGGCGGGGCCGTAGGGTGCAGCGGCGGGCCGACCAGGTGAGGCGGCGGGCCGTAGGGTGCAGCAGCGGGCCGTAGGGTGCAGCGGCGGGCCGGCAGGTGCAGCGGCGGGGCCGTCAGGTGAAGCGGCGGGCCGCTGGGTGCAGCGGCGGGCCGGCAGGTGCAGCGGCGGGCCGGCAGGTGCAGCGGCGGGGCCGTCAGGTGAGGCAGCGGGCCGTAGGGTGCAGCGGCGGGCCGTAGGGTGCAGCGGCGGGCCGGCAGGGCCGCGTCAGAGCCGGCGGCGGGGCCGCGTCAGTGGAGGCGGCGGGGCTGCGTCAAGCAGGCGGCGGGGCCGCGACGAAGCGGGCGGCAGGGCCGCGTCAGAGCCGGCGGCGGGGCCGCGTCAGTGGAGGCGGCGGGGCCGTGTCAAGTGGAGGCGGCGGGGCCGCGTCAAGCAGGCGGCGGGGCCGCGATCAGGAGGGGTGGCGGGGCCGCGTCTGAGGGACAGCGGGGCCGCGAGGGAAATGGCGACCCGAGGGGTCGCTAAAAAAAAGGCGCGCCTCGGGGCGCGCTTCGGTGGGCCCTAAAAAAACGGTCCTAAGGAAGGACCCGCTCTATACCATGTGAAACAAGTGAACAGGAATGAAATGACTAAGTCAGAGTTGGGTACAAATACAACCCTAGAAAGCTGTACCCCATATGTGCTACCCCACTATAGCCTACAAACATGCATCAGCTATAATACTCTGACACGATCAGGAGGGGCAGCGGGGCCGCGAGGGAAATGGCGACCCGAGGGGTCGCTAAAAAAATGCGCGCCTCGGGGCGCGCTTCGGTGGGCCCTAAAAAAACGGTCCTTAGGAAGGACCCGCTCTATACCATGTGAAACAAGTAAACAGGAATGAAATGACTAAGGAAAGATTGGGTACAAATACAACCCTAGAAACCCTGTACCCCATATGTGCTACCCCACTATAGCCTACAGCAACTATGTCATATAAATCTGACAGGCCATAAGCGCCATGCTCCAGATAGAAGCGCCGGCGCCTGTAATAGGCCGGCGCCTATATCCGGGGTCATACAGTAGGTTTCCTCTGGCATTTTTTTTATCCGGTACATTACCCAAAACCGGTTTTTAGCCCTGAAATTCTTACGTCGAACTTGTCTCTTCTCGCGAAAGTGTGACGCACCCGGAAAGACGTGCACGAGGGCGGCGCCGTCACTGTTCGGATACGCGACAAAAATCAGCACGGTAATCTAGGCAAACAGTTGCGCTCAATTTTTGTCCATATCGTAACCAATCCGCGCATAGTTATATGATTCCCCGATCATATACTCAGTTGCACGGATGTCAGTACGCGCGACCAGTTACAGAGTGCGCTTGATTGGTCGACTTTATGCGTGGGGCCTTTTCTGACCTTGCGCGTCCAATCAGACGCGGTCATGTAAGATTGCGCTCATATAAAACCGCATATTTACCTATATGAGCGCGCATATGTGATGCTCGAATGTGTGTGTGATCTGTTTTATTAATATAAAACTATGTTAATAAATTTGAGAGACGTTATCACTACCGGCGTTTTGCCATTATACATATATCAAACTATGCATACCTATATCGCACAGCGTGTGCATGCACAAGAGGGGCCATCTGTTTGACAGATCTGCGGGCGTTAGCAGCCGAACCAGCCGTGTTCCATTGCTGCTGATGCACGTCAACGGCGAGATGGCGTTTCGTGGGTCCCCCTCGTCACTCCGCGCTCTCCTCACCGCCACCGAGGCTCGACACCCGCTGCGTCGCGGCTTGCTTATCAACCACTGCCTGGAGCGAGGGAGCGAGGGAGCAGGGAGAGCAGAGGGAGATGTAACAAGGCGGGATGCGCCATGCACGCATGCATGGGGATTCCCGAACGGGCCACCGTTGCCCGGCTAACTCCAAGCCGTGACGGTTGCGAGCCTAGAGCACTGTCTCCTGTCCTTTCGCGGCCACACAGACATGGCCTAGGAAGACGCGATTTTAAACTGGCTAGTCTGATCGCGCCCATTTCAACGGCCTTCCTTAATCACCTCCCCGCTCCCGCCGCTTCCGCTGTTACCACTTGCCAGGTCGCCACCCTCGCTCAACGGTTCGTGGCGACAGCATCGCGAAGTTCGCGCGCGGCAGAGAATGGCGGCGAGCCGTGAGAGAAGCGCGCCGCCGGACCCCGCGGCCGAGGCGGCGGATTCGGAGTCGCTTCGAACAGCCGAGGAGATTGTTGGGAGCCGTGCGCCGCCCGCCATCGGCGCAGCCGTCGACGCGCGCCTGCTGAGAAGCTTCGACGGTCTCGCGCGCGACCTCGATCACGCGATTCGCACGGCCGCAACGCCGTCGCAACAGCACGACGCAATCGCCACGTGTCTTCTCATCGCGAACGCGCTGTGCGACTGGCCGGAGAGCGACGAGCCGCGGCCGCGGGAGGCGTTCGGCTTCCGCGTGCTGCGCAGCATGCCGTGCGCCGCCGAGTCGCTGCTGTTGCGAGGCAAGCCATGGGTTGCGCGGGTGTGTTGTGATGCGGGGGAGGTGCGCGGGGAGGGCCGAGGTGGGGCAGCAGTGGGGTAGCAGGGAAGAGTAGGGCTGTGTGTGCTTGGGTAGCCCTAGTTGACGCAGCCACGCGCTGCTTGCCATCTCCCCATCGCCCTCTCCGTGTCTCTCGCCTCCAGCCCATGTCAGCTCTCAGCACCACACCATTGTCTCTTCCCTCATCCCCCCACGCCTTTTCCGCCTCCGCTCGATCTCCCTCTTCCCCCCTCCTCTCCGTCGCGCTCGTCCTCGCCTCCCTCGCTCACCCCCTGGCAGACACGTTCTTTCTGATGGAGCACAGCAGCAGCAGCAGGCGGCGGGCAGCAGCGACCCCGTGGAGGGGCTTCTGCGGCCCGCAGGGCAGCTCGCACGTCCCCGCCACCGCCACCACGCCCGCTGCTCTCTCCCCGCTGCTGCCCGCGGGCCTGCGCGCGCCTTTCCTTACGCAGCTGGAGGTGGCGTCCTCACAGGTCGACCGCACTGCCAAGGTGCGCCGCCCAGCACAGCTCAGCACCGCGCTTGCCTTTTCACTCACCTCGCACGCCCGCAAACATCACTCGAAACATCTCTCCTTCTGCCGCACGCCACTATGTGACTCGCTCTAATCTGACCCCCTACCTCCCTCACACGGTCCTTGCTCACCTGTGGCCTCTTCACTCCCATGCACCACCCACCTTACTGTGGCATGCCTGACTCCTGAACCATCCCTCCACCCCTATCCTCGCCCTCCTCATCCCCATTCTGCCTTTCCCATAGAGGCAGCGGTCGCAAGGCGGCATGCTGGCATGGCAGCACAGCCAGGAGGACGTGGAGCAGGTGAGCGTGCACGACACGGGTACCTTGTCTATAGCATCCCGTGCCCCGCTTGCCCCTTGCTCCACTCTGCTGCCTGCTCATGCTGCTGCATGCGTGCGTTCCCTTGCCTCTTCACCATTCCCATTCGCTCGCCTCCTTAAGTCACCTGCCTACCCATGGTGCTTCCCCTCCCCCTCGTGCCCGTGCCGTCCATCCCCATCCTTGTTGCTGCGCCCAGCTGCACAATCTCAGGGCGCGGCGGTTCTTCCTGCTGCTCAACCACCCACTGTCTCACCGACCTCCACCTCCACCTCCCCTGCCACAATCACTCTCACAGTCACAGTCCCAATCATCAGCGCTCCCCCTCGTGTCACCCTCAGGCTCGCAACCACAGGCAGTGACAGCAGCAGGCTTACAACAACAACCAATGGCGTTCTCGGCCTCAGGGTCACAGCCGTGCTCCCCATCGTTCTCCTCCTCTGCAGTGCCCATGGCACAGAGTGCAGCGCCCACCCACCGCTTCTGCCACCCGCTCTCCCTTGTACTCATCTCCTCCACCGCCTCCCACACCCCACCTCCCACCTCTACCACCTCCGCCTTCCCCTCTCTCGCCCCTGCCGCTGCCCCTGCCGCCCTGCCTGCACCCACCGCTGCGTCTCCCACTCCCACAGTCAACGCGTGGGAGCTGTACTCTCACGTTAAGGCGTACCTGGCCGGGCGAGCTGGGGGGAATGGCAGTGGGGACGGTAGTGCCGAGGGCAGTGCGGAGGGCAGTGGGGACGGCAGTGAGGAGGGCAGTGGGGAGGAGGAGGCGCAGGCCCTGTGGCGTGTGGTGCGGGCATGCGGGGTGGAGTCAGTAGGAGAATTGAGTGGAGTGGTGGATGAGAGGGGGTGGACAGCCATGCACGTGGCTGCCCGCAATGGTGACTCCCCCGTGGTCAGTCCCATCTCACATCACATGCATGCATCGCTTCATTGGCACCCGTGCAGCACAACCTGCCACCAGCTCCCACACCCAGGGACCCCTTACTACGCTTCTCCACCAGCCTGCCCCCGTGTGCACTCCCCAGCAAAGGCTTGATCCACGCTCACACCAATGCCCTTTCCTGTCCCTACCTGCCGCTCCTCACCATCCACAGCTGCAGGCGCTGTTGCGCATGGGCATGCCAGCAGGAGTGTGCAGCACACGCAACGCCACCACGCCACTGCACCTGGCGGCGTATGGCGGCCACGTGGATTGCATGTGCCTGCTGGCTGTGACATCCGCGCACATCCGCGCGGATGGCTGTGGTGCTGACATCCGCGCTCGCACGGCTGGTGGCTGTGAGTGCCTGGCGGCTGTGACTGATCTTGCACTAGACTGTTGAAAGTGCTTTGTTCTCTCATACTTCACGCAGCTTCCTTTCCTTGCTCTCTTGCCTTTGGCTTTACCCTCTCTACCCTGCTGCGTGAACGTGTCTGTTTCTGCATCTGCTTTCGGAGAGCCAGTCCTTTCCCTATGTAATCCAACCTCCCTATGTAATCCAACCGCCCTCCCCCAGGGACCCCTTTGCACAACGCAGCGAGCCAGCAGCAGTGGGGTGCAGTTCGGTGGCTGGCGCAGCAGGGGATAGAACCAGCAGAGGTGGAAGCAGCGGGAGGCAACCCCAATGCAAACAGGCTGCCAGCTCACCTCATGGCCCAGGCGGTGCAGATAGTGCGGGAGGAGTATGCTAGGCGACCAGGCCACGCGGGAGAAGGGGGGCATGGGTTTGGGGAGGAGGCTGGCGTGGGTGCGAGCTGGGTGGATCAACTCCTTGTGCTGGATGATCACCTTGACATTGCATGATCTGATTGCCTGCTCGCACTGCTCAGTGGTTCAAATGCATGAGGACGGAGGAGAGGCAAGATGAACAGACAGTGCAACACTTGCAGTACCGGTCACCCATGTTGCAAATTGGAATGCACACGTACCCCTGTTCTAAATGCATGGAGGTTATACTTGGAAGGTCAAGAAGATCATTTCACAATTCACAACATATGATGTCAGCTCGTGTAATGGTCTAACGCGGTGAACACCAATAGCGGTTCTGCCACTGCTCGTGTTTGCGGACATCGTGCGCGAGTGAGAACACAAACACCCTGTGTCTTCCTTCGCGGCACTCAAGACGAGTGGAGAGAGCGGCACGCACGCTAGAGTCTGGTTTAACGTGCGATGCGGAGTCAACAGGAGGAGCCGTCTCCTCTGTCGCCTGCGGAGTTCGATCCTACCGCGCACGCCCACCAAGGCAAGCGCCGCTTGAATCGCGGCGCAGAGCGAGCCAGCGCGGATGGCGGAGCGCGGCAGTCAGCGGAAGGGGATGGCGATGGGGGGAAGCGACAGAGGAAGAGGCAGTGGGATGGCGGGAAGGGTGGCGATGCGCGCGCTGTGACAGCCGCGGACGATCCCTTTGCGCCGGTGAGTGGCGCACCGATGAGTGGCGCGCCGATGGCTGCTCGTGAAGGCGGAGGTTTGGCCGCTGGAGGTGCGCACGGCAGCAGTGACGGCGCGGACGGCAGCAGTGACGGCGCGGACGGCAGCAGTGACGACGCGGATGTAGAGCGTATTGAGAGCGGCGGCAGTGGCGGTTGCATTGCAGTCGAGCGCTGGCGGCTGTATTGCACGAAGAAATCGGAGAAGGCTGAGAGGCGAACGAAGCGACGAGCGCAAGTGCGAGAGAATGTGGCAGCACAGCGGGGCGTGGGGATGGGGGTTGCAGCAGCGCCTCCAGGCGCAGGAGGGGCAGTCAACAGTGGTATCATTAGCAGCGGTGGTAGTGGCGGTGGTGGTGTGAGTGTGGAGGAACTGGGTGCTGTGTTCGGCCTGCGTGCTGGCGCTCTTGTGGCGCGCGCTGCTCTCCCCCACATCCTTGCTGGTGAGGCGCTGCTCTCCCCCACATCCTTGCTGGTGCTTCCACGGAAACCTCGATGGAAACCTTGATCTCGCCGCCATGGCTGCCTGACGCCAGCCTGGAACTCACATTGCGTGAAGCCTATTTGTCAGTTGGCTTTAATCCTATCAGCAACGTAATCGCTACAGCAAGACGAAGAGGATCATATACGTTATGTGTTCATCAGGCGAACATTTTATTTTCCTCTCACTGGTGCGTTACGCTGATCAACCAGATAAGGCCTAAGGTTAACGCGTGGTTCCCAGGGGTATGCGTCATCACAAGGCTACCAGCTAAGCTATCACTAATTGGCTCTCTAGATTCTACATTGATATATCAAGATGACCCTAAAGTTACCACAGCGGCCAAGCAACACCTAAGTCAGGAGCACTGGGCTAAGGCTTTGGCAAGATTACTATTTAACAGTGATGTGTTCAGACTACCGGCTCATTGTTCTCAACAACTCCGTCTGTCAGAGTTTCGGCCGGCTTCTTGTCATCATTGCACGATGCCTCCTAAGAACTCCCGTAAGGCAGTGGCTGATGCTGCCTTGGTCAACCGTGCTGGTGGTTCCGATCCTGCGAGCAAGTCAACGCCAAGCAAGCGGTCAGATGTGGACATTAATCTACCGACCAAAGCGGAAGTTACCGCTGGGAGCTCAGGCCTTTCTGTCGAGGAGAAGCTGAAAGCGTTGGCCACGGTGGCTGCTGATGACTCATTTATCGAAGATGACTCTGATGAGGAGCTGGAGATTGATGCGAGCAAAGGAATCTCCCCTCACCTGCGTTCGACGGTGATTCTGCTTTTTCCAGTGATCCTGTCGCATGAAGTCGCTTCTGTTATTCTAACTGTGCGGACGCTTATGAAGCGTGTTTGGGCAAACCTGCTCTCTGATGACGTCTTGGCCACGGTGAAGTTTCAGGAGCTGCTTCCCGCGTCTGTTGCCAAGACCCGCTATAGTTGTCTCCAAGTGTCATTCCTGCGAGAGTCCGACGCTGTGAACATTAAGCAGACATCGGTGGATCATAAGCGTCCCAACGGAATTACGATTCATTGTTTCTGGCTGCACCAAGAGGATCCAGCTTACCTGCGTATGAAGGCGACAAATCCGCAGATGCTGGAGGTGTATTTCAAAGGTGTCCCCGCTGACATTCCCCCGGAGCTGGTTTTGGAGGTGATGGTGAAGCATCCGCTCAAGATCCGGAAGCAGTCGGCCTTCAGCGGTGGTCACTGCTTTCACCGCGTCCTTCATCCGGTGACCGGCGCTGACATGGACAAGATCAAGGGGCTGGTTGTTCCGCACGCTGGCGACAAGCACCACTGGCGTCACGAATATCGTCATCAGCTGCTGGGTGGCACAACTCTGCTGGCCCACTTCCCCCTGCTATCCTGCTCGCTCTGTGGTGGGCACCATTATGACAAGTTTCATAATGCGTTTGTCACGGAACATCAGAATAACATAGGGAAGTGGAGTTTGACAGTGGGTCGGGTGAATAGGATTAACGGTAAATGTGCTTTCTGGATTTGCAGTCGTTTATTGTACTCACCGTCGTCGGTCGCTAACGTCGCGTCTGTCCCTCGCAACTGCTTCTCTCTGCGCTTCTCCGCTTGTTACCCCGCTTCTGCTGGATGCGGCTTTTGTTCTCATCTCCACTAGAAGCAACCGGGAGGAGTGGATGTGCACCCAGGAAAGCTGCGGGAAAGCTCATGGCAAGACCTTCATGGCTGCTGCGGACCATGTTACATCGGCAAGTCCTCTGTTGGGTCTAGAAAAGCTGGGGGTGGCTACGCGTGCTTCGCTGGAGAAGCTGAGCCTGCACGTCATCCGCAAAGATTATGGAATCTGAGATCAGGGTCCACTCACCTGAAGAGGAGCTGTGTGGTTGTCGCTGTTGCTTGTTCTTGTGTAGTAGTATCCTGTATCACCGGCCTGTGGATGTAAGGGGGCCTTCAAGCAGTGTTTAAATGAGTACAAAGAGCTTACTGTCATTTGCAGGCCTGAATGTCAACGACTTGGGGGATGGTAACAAGCAACAGCGTACAAAGAACTGGTTGAAGCAGGCAGCAGATATCGTCGTATTTTCGGACTCTAGGCTCACTGATGATCACCCTTACTGGAACTCGCTTAGGCAGCCGCAGATCCTGGTAGCCTCTCCTACCGCTAAAGCCGGCGGGGTTGCTTTAATCTGTCGGAGGCACGGACTGTCACTGCATAACACCCTCATCCACCCATCTGGTCGGGTGATAGCAGCTGAAGCTCGACTTGACACTTTTCACATCACCTTGGTCGCGGTTTATTTCCTGGCTGATGTTGCTGAACGTAAGGCGTTCATCCGCAGAGTGTTGGGTCCGGTGGTTGACACGGTGTCGCCGGGTTCTCATCTGCTCATTATGGGGGACTTCAATCTTGTAGAAGACCCGCTGCTAGATAGGATATCACGGAAGGGGTCCACGAAAGAGAATGAGGAGTTGTACCGTCGTTGTGGCGCCTTTCACCTCTCGGATGCTTTTAGAGTTCTACATCCATACAGGCGGGAATTCACTTTCTACTCCTGCGCCAACCAGACCAATTCGCGTATAGACAGAGCAATTATCTCGCAATCTTTGCTAGCGCATGTTGAGTTCGTCTCACGCATTATGCCGGCTGACCCCATCTCTGACCACAGCTTTGCAGTGAAGGCGGCTTTCAGGTTGAACACGCGGGTGCAGTTGGGCCCGGGGCTTTGGAGGCTTCCTGCATACATGTTGGACAGACCGGGGGTCAGAAAGGTGATTGAAGCCGTGGAGCGGCAAGCGGACTTGTGTGGGGACGGTTTTGAGCTTCTAATCTCCCGCCTCAATACTGCTCTACGAGCTTACGCGAAAGAGGGTTCGGGCTACGATGGTTCACCTTCAGCGGCCGGTTGCGGAGCTAAAACAGGCGTGGCTGGGTGACCCGGGGTGTGCTCGGCTGAAAACCTTGCTGGGCGAAAGAGAGGCGCAGTTGAAGAGCTACCAGCTGGTTCGGTAGGAGCGGCTACATGTAATGGCTGGGTTGAAGGAAGAAGTCATGGGTGAAGTGGCCTCCCCGCACCTGTCGGCAAAGATCAAAGCCAGAAAGGGGCGGACGCAGATTACGGAGTTAAACGCAGGCGGGAAGCTGGTGAATGACAATGAAGCTATCCTGAAGGCAGCGTCACAGTATTATAAGGAGCTGTTTGGAAGCGACAGACAGCAGGCCGTCTCTGCTTGGTCTCCTGCTCCCAGGAGGTCTCTGTCGCAGAAGTCGGCGGAAGCGGTGTGTGCGGCCTGGTCGGAGGAAGAAGTGAAAGCTGCTTTCCGTTCGATGGCGAAGGATAAGGCTCCTGGGAAGGATGGGTTGCCGAAGGAGCTGTTCGAGTTCCACTGGGATATCCTGGGCAAACATTTGATGAAGCTGGCTGACAATTTTGCAGCTACGACGACGCTGCCGACGAGTACGAATGACGCTGTTACCATCCTGCTACACAAAAAGGGGGGGAGGGAGCAGCTTGAGAACTACAGACCGATCACCCTTCTGAGCTTCACCTACAAAGTGATCGCGAGGGTGGTGGCAGACAGGATGAAAAGAGTGCTGCATGAAGTCATATCTCCGGAGCAGTACGGTTTCTTGCCTGGTAGAAGGCTATCCGACGCGGTGGGCTTGGTTGCGGATGTTATCGAGGCCGCGAAGAGCAAGGATCATGACTGGTATCTTCTGCTGGTCGACTTTAGGAAAGCTTTTGACTCGGTCTCGAGGAACTTCCTGTTTACGGTGCTCGAGCGGATGGGTTTTCTGAGCCGTCTCGTGGACTGGGTTAGGGGCCTGCACAAGGATACACGGACCAGTCTCTTAATCAACGGCTGGATGGGGGAAGCGGTTGACGTGGTGTCTGGGGTGCGGCAGGGTTGTCCGCTTGCGCCTTACCTCTTCTTGTGCGCGGTGGAACCGTTGGCCCAGCAGGCGGCTTCTAGAAAACTTGGTTTTGAAAAGGGGGAGCAGCGGCAGGCTTATCTGGGGTATGCTGACAACACGACTTTAGTCCTGCAAGGAGAAGAACAGATTGCGGAAGCAGAGCGGCTGTTAGCAGACTTCGAGGCAGAGTCGGGGCTGGCAACGAACATAGAGAAGTCATCCATCTTACCCCTGGGGTGTAACCTGAACAAACAGGCCTGCAGAACGGACGGTTTCAAATGGGTAAAGGCGGATGAAGCAGAGAGGCTCCTGGGCGTGTGGGTGACGCCGGCTGGCAGCTGCGCCCCCACCTGGGAAAAAGCTTTCGCGCGGATCAAGGATAAGCTGAGACAATGGGAGACGCAGCATCTCACCACAGGCGCCAGGGTAGCGGTAATCAACTGCTACATCTCACCCATAATTTTCTTCCAGGCGCAGGTGTACCCGCTGCCGGTGGATATTTGGGGGAGGATTTTGAAGCTGTCGCACAACTTTGTATGAGGCAACCACACGGTCACTGATAAGAAATTCATTATGTGGAGCCGGGATCTATTGTATACGGCCAGGGTCGATGGCGGTGTGGGGGTGAGGGACCCGGAAATAGAGCTCACCTGTCTTGCAGCCAGGCGCATCGGACTGTTGCTCACCGAGACGAGTGAACTGAAGCGGGACATTATGCTCGCAGCGGCGGACCTGCCGCTGGGGACGGGCACCTTTGTTGCTCACGTGAAGCTTCTGAAGTGCTGGCGTGGGAAAAGTGAGAGATGGAAGCTGGCCTGCAAGAGCTTTATGCAGTTGCCGCTGATAGACTCACTACCGGCCCTAACGAAGGAAGAAATTGTAGCGGAGCGGATTGTTTTTAACCGCAACATCCTGCTCAACGGCAGGACTCCAGTGGGGGGTCAGAAGGCTGCGGCAAAGCTGTGGGAGCTCCGGCTGGGTGATCTTTTGCTACCGGATGGCGCGAGGGGACGAAAGGTCAAAGATGTGAAAACCCTGACAAGGGAGCTGGGAGGTTCTAAGCAAGCGAAGCTGGCACTACGGGCTTGGGAAGCGGTACCACAGACATGGAAGGAGAGTCTACTTTCTGCCAAGCAACTGGTACCTCCGCCTCTGATTCCTCGCCTTTAGAAATCGGCACAGTTCAAGGATAGGCAGGTGGCGTCGTTGAAAGAGCTGAAGGGATGTTGGAAGGGGCAGAAGCGTCAATCCGCTAAGAGGGAGCTTTGGGCAGGCAGATGGTCAGGGAAAATTGACTGGAAGAAAGTTATCAAAGTTCGGGACTCGCTGGTGACACCGGATAGGCCGCGTGACGTGTTGCTTAGGATTCACAGCCTCAACCTGCAAGTAGGGGAGAGGCTCTCCTTTCTAAGTGGAAGGCCGGTCTGCCCGCACTGTGAGGAGTTTGAAACCTTGGAGCATTGTCTTTTTAGCTGCCCGCGCATCGAGCAGGTGGTGGTGGCAGTCAAGCGGTCCATGCGCATGCTGAACCCTGGGAGGCAAGTGTCGGACCTCGGGGACCTGTTGTTCGGAAAGGCAGCATTGGCCTCAGCGTTTCCTGAAGCGACCCTCTCTGCAATTGCCGTTCACCAGACCTGGGCGGAGTGATGTGATTGTGTGTTTCGAGGGAAAAGATTCCGGGCCCGGCGGGTACTCAGGCGCATCGAGGCAGCCTTTCGGCTGCATGTGAAGGTGTACACGAGAGCAATGGGAAAGAAGACTGGTAGCGGCGGTGGTTCGAAGGGACAAAGGAGAACTCATGCGCTGGCGGAGCAGGAGGACTGTTTACTTGGCCGCATTCGCTGCATGACGGTGAAAGGTTGGAAGTGGACGCACAGTTTCGGCGCGCTTTGGAGCCTGGCAAGGGGAGCTCTGCATCCGCCTTAGAAGCCTCACGTGAGGCCACCATGTGGGTTCGGCCTCTCACGCTCAGTTACGACTGACATATATCGCTTATACGCTTGCTCTTTCAGTGTATTTGATTATATTCATAATGAAAAAAAAAAAAAAAAAACATCCTTGCTGGTGAAGCACTGCTCTCCCCCACATCCTTGCTGGTGAAGCGCTCTGGCGCATAAAGGAAAGGGGGATGGGGAGAAGATGGCGGAAGGGGGGGGGCCTGGGGGAGCCAGTCCAGCCGAAGGCAACGAGCGTGAGAAGCAGGCTGCTTGTTCACATGCCATGCTGGTGCTTGTTCACGTGCGGTGCTTGTTCACGTGCGGTGCTTGTTCACGTGCGGTGCGTATTCACTGTCAAACATTATGTATGTTGTGTTAGTTTAGGCTACAGTGGGTTAGCCTATAGGGGGTACACAATTCTAGGGTTAGGTACTTGTACTCATTTCACTGCTAGTTCATTCATTCCTGTTCAGTGATTCCAACATGGTATAGAGCAGGTCCTTCCTAGGACCGAAATTTTCTAAGGGCCCACCACTACGTAACTACCTACCTACCTACCTACCTATACCCTAGGGCGCCTCGGCGTGTCACGCCCCTAGAGGCCCCTCTTGACGGCCCCGAACTAGCCCCGTTCAGGCCCCGTCGGCCCCGTTTCAGGCTCTCCCTAGCGGCCCCGTTCAGGCCCCGTCGGCCCCTTTAAGGCCCCGTTCAGGCCCCGTGCTAGCCCCGTTCAGGCCCCGTCCGCCCCGTTTCAGGCCCCGTCGGCCCCGCGCTAGCCCCTCTCAGGCCCCGTCGGCCCGCGCTAGCCCCGTTTCAAGCCCCGTCGGCCCCGCGCTAGCCCCTCTCAGGCCCCGTCGGCCCCGCGCTAGCCCCGTTTCAGGCCCCGTTGGCCCCGTTTCAGGCCCCGTCGGCCCCGCGCTAGCCCCGTTTCATGCCCCGTCGGCCCCGCGCTAGCCCCTCTCAGGCCCCGTCGGCCCCGCGCTAGCCCCATTCAGGCCCCGATCGGGCCCGCGCTAGCCCCGTTTCAGGCCCCGTCGGCCCCGTTTCAGGCCCCGTCGGCCCCGCGCTAGCCTCGTTCAGGCCCCGTCGGCCCCTTGCTAGCCCCGTCAAGGCCCCGTTTGGCCCCGCGCTAGCCCCGCTCAGGCCCCGATCGGCCCCGCGCTCGCCCCTCTAGGGCCCCAACCGGCCCCGTGCCGACCTCGCCGACCCGTGCCCACCACCTAGAGGCCCCGTGCGGCCCGTTCCCGCCGCACCACACGAGGGAGAGCGGGCGGCCCGTCCCCGCCGTGACCCGAGCCGCGCGCCCCGAGCCGAGCAGCGCGCCCCGAGCCGAGCCGCGCGCCCTGAACCGAGCCGCGCCACCCAGCCGAGCCGCGAACCGACCTGAACCGAGCCGCGCCGCCCTGCCCTGCCTGGTTCGTCCTACCTGCTTCTCCTACTGCTACTGCTGCTATTTCTACTGTTCCTATGGCTAGCCCACAGGTTCTCGTGTTCGATGCTGAGGGCCGCCCTGTGAAGTTTAACACCTGGCTCGATGACCTGCACCTCTACCTACAGCTCACAGCCAAGGATGACATCTCACTGTACGATCACACCCTAGGCCATGTCACTGCCCCTGCTGCTACTGCTGACAGCACTGCTCACTCACAGTGGCAGACTCGTGATGCCCACGCTCGCTTCGCCATTCGCAACTCCCTGCCGATAGACAAACGCGAGCACTTTGGTCAGCACAAGACTACACAGGCACTGTACACAGCTGTAGTTGCTCGCTACTCCTCACCTGCCTCTGCCGCACTAGGCCGTCTCTCCCTCCCCTACCTGTTTCCCGACCTGGCCTCCTTTCACACAGTCTCTGACCTCATCACGCACCTCCGTACTAGTGAGGCCCACTTCCGTGCCGCCATGCCTGCTGAGTTCCTTGCCACGCACCCCCCTCCACTCTGGCTCACTCTCTACCACCTAGTCACCCACCTCCCTGACACACTGCGTGCTGTCAGGGACCACTTCATAGCTCGTTGCCCCACTGAGCTCACCATTGCCCTCTTCGAGAAGGAGCTACTTGCAGCTGAGACTAGCATAGTCACCGTAGGTGCCTCTCGTGGCGACCCCCGTACCCCGTTCTTTGAGGGGTGTTCTCCTTCCCCCCTTCTTCCCTCTGTCGCCTCTGCTTCTGCTGTCGACCTTCTTGGTGCTGAGAAGGTCGGCGCTGCGTCTGCCTCGAGCGGACGCCGCAGCGGCAAGGGCAAAGGGGGCAAGGGTGGTGGCGGTGACGGCGGGGGAGGCGGCGGTGGGGGCGGTGGAGGCAGTGGGGGTGGTGGCTCGGATGGAGGGGCGAGTGGTAGCGGTGGGGGTGGTGGCGGCAGCGGCGGGGGAGGTGGCAGGAGTGGAGGCAGCGGTTGGGGTTGCGGTGGACGAGGCGGCGGCAGGGGTTGGGGTGGTCGAGGAGGTGGCAGCCGTGGTGGTGGCCGTGGAGGCACTGGCGGTGGCCAGGGCCAGCAGCACACTCCCTCGCCCCAGGAGGTCCGTGAGTGGTACTCTCAGCACGGGGGTGGGGGTGGTCTTAGCTGCACGTACGTCATTCGCACTGGTGACCGCACAGGTCAGCAGTGTGGACGACCGCACGCCACACAGCGCTGCTTCTCTCGTCTCGACGACGCTTGGCGTGTTCAGTTCCCTCAGGCCACTGAGCTGCCCCGCTGGCTTGATCTCCTGAAGAAGGGGATTGATATCTATGCTCTAGACTTTGATGCTATTCTATCTGCCATGTATGTGATGTCTACTAGTGGAGAGGGTGCTGAGTACTTGTGTGTGCCGCCCAACCCGGGCATTAGGGCCAGTGCGTCTGCCGCTCCAGGTACTCGCGTGTCGGCTACCCCAGGTGCTGGTGAGGCTGCTGCTCTAGGTGCTCGTGTGTCTCCCCCCCTTGGTACTGCGTCGACTGCCGCACTGCACACCTTCACACTGGATTTAGGTGCTTCTCGCTGCTTCTTTCGTGACCGCAGTGCCCTTGAGCCGCTTGCTCGGCCAGTTGCTGTCTCCCTTGCTGACCCCTCTGGGGGTCCGGTCATTGCGACCTCTTCCACTGTCCTTCCCTGCCCTGCGGTCCCGTCGGGCACACTGTCAGGTCTCCACCTCCCCTCGTTCTCTACGAACTTGGTGGCAGGATGTGCACTCTAGGACGGGGGTGTTCACCAGTTCACCCCTGCCTATGAGCGCGTGACACACTGCACGTGTGCTCGTACGGGCCGTCACTTGGCTACCTTCACTCGGCAGCCGGGGTCGGACCTGTACACACTGACTACTGAGTCCCCTCAGGTTGCTGCGACTGCGTCCGCGTCCGCGTCAGGTCAGCTGTCCGCCCCCTGCTCGTGTCGCTCTCTGGCACACGAGACTGTCCTCTGGCACCACCGCCTTTGCCACCCGTCTGTGCAGCGGCTTCGTGCCATGCACTCCCGGTACCTTGTCTCTGGCCTGCCCAGGGTCCTTCCTGCCCTCCCACTCCGCCTGCTCCTACCTGTCTCCCCTGTGTCGAGGGACGGCAGCGCGCCGCTCCTCACTCCTCCTCGTTCCCCCCGACGACTGCTCCCTTGCAGACACTCCACA